ATTTAAAATTTAAGACTCCTAAATCTTAGCCATAAGCATGCCTACCATGTCAAGAAAATCTTCATAGTCAGAAAAATCATATCAAACAAATCTGCTGCCTGGAAACTATCATCTCAATGAATGCTTTTGAAAGGAAAAAAAGAAAAATCATGTTAAGTGAAGTAAGCCAGACCCAAAGAAACATAGACTACATGGTTCCACTCATTTGTAGTAACTAGTATATGTCTAGGATAGTTCTAGCAGAGGATCGCAATAGCTCAATAGCTATGTGTGTATATGACCTTATAAAATGAGCTAATCTAAATGAACTACATGATATGGAAACAAGAGGTTTTGGGTTCTTTGTTGTTGTTGTTGTTTTGTACTGTATGCAGTTATTTTCTTTATCTTTCTTTCTTTTTGTCTTCTTCTTCTTTGGTTTAGCCCCTGTTGTCACTGTTTTTTATTTCAGCACAATTTGTCTTGTATATAAGTTATCTGATTAGAAATGAGAAGAGGAATCACAGAAATGGTGAGAAAAAGGACAAAGGGTAAACCTATGCAAAAGTGACACAAGACATGTTGGAAATGAACTTTACAATTTGGTGGAGAGGGGATTCGGGGTGGGGAAAGGGAAAGAGGAAGAAAATGAGGAAGGGAATGTTGGACAAGAATTATACTCATTATGTAAGTGTAACTCCTCTGTACATCACCTTTCAAATAAAAAAAAATACATAGTAGCTGAGAAGAAACTAGAAGAAAAAAAGAAACCTATACAAATACAAATATGTAAAGCAGTATCACAAAGAAATCTTCAGGACCAGATTCAGAAAAAGGAATATCCTTGTTCAGAGTCTAGCATGGTGTTTTCTTTTAAAAATTATTAGTCTGGTCTTTGGTAAGGATTAAAGCCATTCTCAGAACAAAAAATACTTCTGGGTCAGAGTCAGTTATAAAAGAAATCTCATCCTATTAAATGCAATAAAGACAAAGCAAACAAAACTCTGAGTGAATGTCTCCTTTTACAATGGTTCTTTCTTAACTTTTTTTTCCTTCTCTTCGTTTCTCCATATGTACATATTAATTTAACATTTTCAGTTTATAAGGCATATTTTATAAATTATGTTGCATTTTATTTTATTTGAAACAAGTATTACTTTTATTTAACAGTGGGAAGACTGAAGCCTTAAGGTTAACTGACTTGATAAACATCTCAGAGAACATTGTGGTGATCCCACACTACCATTTCTCACTGGGCATGAGATCTGCTGTCAACATTTTCCTTTCTTTCTCCTCTTTTCATTTTTTCCTCAGTCAGTCTGCAGTGAGCGTATTATGATTGCTTTCAAAGACTAGCATTTATGTCTCACTTGTTTTCTTACATTTCTTCCTGGTTTGATTCCCTTAGTACCTTTCACTGTTAATTCTCTAATCCTCTCCAGGTCAGCAGGGCTCTTCCTCCACTAGGATCTCTCCTGAAGGGTAGCTCACTCCTGCAAAAGGCATCTTTCCTTTTTTAGATCCAAGACCAGAACACAAACTCAGTATCAGCTACTTTCTCTCACTGGCTGCTGTTCTACCAACTGAGCCACACCTCCAACCCATAAGAAGACACCTTTCTTGTGTGCTCATAGACACCCGTTAGGTTCCCAAGCAGAGGAAATAAGATCTATGGCATCTGAAAGAGGTCGAATGTATCTACCAATTTCATACCGTGATGCCTGAAATCTGGTTCAAACTCAAGTTCTAAGTCTCACAAACAGCAAAATATTTGACTAGAGAAATGTGTAGATAGACATAAACAAGGATGGCCCTAAAAGGGTTCTTTCAATAGTTTCACAAGGAAGAAGTTCAGATAAGCCTAAATCATTCTGAAAATCTACTAGAGATAGAATACTGTATCCTTTAAATACTAGAACCTCTTCTGTACTACTGTATCTCTAAAATAACCTGAACAACACAATCCATTTCCCTACATTTCAGTGTTAAGTAGATTATATTACTGTTAAAAAATATCCTAATTCCTTTCTTTTACCACAAAAGGAAAGACAAGTGGCCAATAGGATTTTCACATAAGCAATCTCTATCTGAAAACTGTTTCACTATTACATTGTATCATTTTAATATGAAATACTTCAAAAATGAAGACAGAAATAGAAAACAGAAACCATCTATGGGCCCATTATTCCATTTTATTTAATCATAACACTTTGTCATATTTAACTTCACATCTTTATTTAAAATAAAGCATTATGAACATACTGGAAGCTTCTTTTTTTACACTCCCCACCACCCAAGATGAAGTTGGTATGCTTTTTATAAAAGGTATGTATAGGGACTGGGAAGGTGGCTCAGTGGTAGAGTGCTTGCCTTGTATGCATAAGGCCCTGGGTTCGATTTCTCAGCACCACATAAGCAGAAAAAGCCGGAAATGGTGCTGCGGCTTAAGTGGTAGAGCGCTCGCCTTGAGCTGAAGAGCTGAAGGACAGTGCCCAGGCCCAGAGTTCAGGCTTACAACCAACCAAAAAATTATATATATAACATATATATATATATATATATAAAAGATACATAAGGTTATTTAGTAGTTTCTTAAATATTATATTAACCATGTGTTTGATACTACAGAAGCAAAGGTATTCTAACAAACAGAAGAGCAAAAATTAATAAGTTATGAAAATCCTTTTAAACATGTACATGACTTCATGTATACATAGGGGAATCAGAGATGAATCCAGAGCTTTGAGTACAAATATTCTACCTGGGAATGGTGACTGTGCCTCTTGCAAAGGAGATTTTGTATGCACCTCATTCCACCATTTCCTTCTTTGCCAATACTTACATACCAATTTTTTTTATTGTGAAAATGCCGTACAGAGGGTTACAATTACATGAGCAAGGTAATGAGACATTTCTTATCAAGTATTGTTGCCTCCTCCTTTGTTGCCCTTTCCCATCCCCACCCCCCACCCCCGCCAAAGTTGTAAAGTTTGTTTTTCAACATAATGTCTTATACATCTGATTGTTGCAATGAGTCCACCTGTATCCCTATTTAATCAATTTGTTTTTTCCCTTCCCTCCCACAAAGTATACCAACATCAAATACAGTGAAAACAGGGGTTATATTGTGAGAGAAAGACATACAAAGCAACAAAGAAATCATCTTACAAATATGTTAGAAACAATTGCAAGAAAGAAAAATCATTTGAATCCGTATCTTGGGGTTCATTTCGCCTAATCAACTTATCTGACCGTTTCTGCTTTTCTCAGACATATACTAGTTATTGCAAATAAGGGAAACCATGGGACCTATTACATACCAATTTTTAAAATCGTTTCCCCTATGAAGTATGGTAACAAACTTTACTGATTACAAAGAGTAATTATTCTTTGTGTGATTATTGCTTGCTCTACATATGTCATCTGTCACTATGCTCAGCCATGTCTTTCTTAGGGTGACTTTTGCCTGATCATTTGGAAAAGTTCTTTATAATGCTAAGTTATTACTTGATGAAAGTACTGTATTCCTTTTAGAATGGTTAAAATTTAAATGGCTAGAAGAAATGATACTGAAGACATACAGCAACTGGAATTCATACACTACCAGTACTACAGCCACTTCAGAAGACAACTTAATAATTTCTGGGGAAGTTAAACATATACCTAACATACAATCTAGTCATTCCCACTATTAGGTATTAACTCCAAAGGAATAAAATACCGTCTAAAAAAAAATTCTATGTGAATATTCACAGGAACTTTACATATAATAGCCCCAAACTAAATACAGCCAAAAATTCCTATAGATGGTTGACGGGATAAGCTGAGGACTATAACACTGTTCAGCAATAAAACAAATGGAATATTGAAATACACCAACTGCACAGATAAATGCTAGATGAATGAACAATCACATTTAGTGACACTGAAGATTACACAATGCAGCATAGCATTACACTCACATAAATCTAGAAAATGCAAACTGATGAGCAATGAAAACATCAGATGACTGACTACCTCCATCAGATATAGACAACTAAGGAAGAAAAAGTTGAGGATAAACATGTTTATTGTCTTGATTCTGGTGTTCCAAACTTTTAAGACTGTGCAAATGTGATCAGTTTATCACATGATAATTTATCAAATTGTATACTTTAAATATGAATAATTTACGTCAATTATACCTTAGTATAATTGAGGATATAATTGGTTTGTAAATCTTCTAAAAATCATTAATCATTACTTATTGATTTTTTTAAATCTTATAAGAACAAAAGAATAAAGAAGAATCTCAACCGTGCTATAATTGTATCATCTAGGCATTTCTTTTCTCTCCTTTTTTCCCCTCATAGTGCTGAGTATTTGAACATAGAGCTTCAAGTATACAATTAAACTACAGTCCCAGCACCCAAACATTTCATAAATGCAGGTCACAATCAAAAAAAAAAAGTCAAACTTTGGCTTCATATCATTCTAAAATTAGAAAACTGTTATCTCTACTTGGTGTTAGTTGGAGGAAATGAGAGTATTAACAATTAGAAATGAAATACAAGTAATTAAAATGAGATTCTAGATCTTAACAATATTGTTCCTCTTATAGGAAACACACTATTAATATGTTTGTTATTAATAACAGTAATATTTATGCCAATACATGAAGTTTCCCACTGGGCCCATTTATACAATTAAGAAACTTGCTCTATCAACTTAATGATAACATGGTAACACAATCACACTAATAAGTTAGTACATTTTCTCCCTAACCTGATGACTCTCATCTTACTCTATTATCATCCTTATCCAAGGTAGTAAACAGTTTCTTTCTCTAGCTAATGCTAGTTTCGTATTATTCTGTTCATCGGATCAAATGAACTATGAAATCCATAGGCTCCATCTCACAAAGATCTGAACCATTATTTCATACCTTTAAAGAAAATCTCCATACAACTAGCCTCAATGATCTGGTACACTGTAAGTATGGATATCTAAGTCTCCAACAGCAAAGGTATTTGAGTACCTACCATCTCCAAAAAGATGTGTCACAAGCCTGGTAAGGGTTTGCTTGAGGTCAAACTCTACAAGCTTTGTAGCCTCCATGGTGTGTGTCTCTTGTTTATGGCCAGAACGAGTACTTTGTTCAAAGAGCTGCAGACTTTCTCCATCCTTTATACCAGCAAATAACTGTAAACCAAGAGGAATAAAACAAGTATACAATATGGTATAGTGGTCAGTCTATATCTAACATTATGCAACTCTGTTAAAAACAAACTTTGCTCTAAGTTACAGTATGGGAATAAGAATTACATTTTACAATAATTACCTGGAATTAACATCTTACTAAAATTATATCTTACTGAAATTCACATCTACTTTGTACCACCTTTGAGGAAAACTCTATGCTAAATTACATGGAGGATCTCTAGGGAATTAAAAGGCACTGTTCTGATTTTTACACATCTGTTTTACATTTGCATATTCTCATAGTCATTTCCTAACAAAAGACATTATTCTCATACCTAGTGGAAACTTCAGTCAGTCAGACTTTCAGTCTCTAAAATAATATCACCAACCCTCTGAATGGGTTTTGTGATCTGAGACTAAGTAACAAAATTTAGTTTAGGAACTAAGACCTATAAAAATCCATGAAGAGGGGCTGGGAAGGTGGCTCAGTGGTAGAGTGCTTGCCTTGCATGCATGAGGCCCTGGGTTCGATTCCTCAGCACCACATAAGCAAGAAGAAAAAAGCCGGAAGTGGTCCTGTGGCTCAAGTGGTAGAACACTAGCCTTGAGCTGAAGAGCTGAGGGACAGCGCCCAGGCCCAGAGTTCAGGCCCCAGGACCGGACCCCCAAAAAAAAAAAAAAAAAATCCATGAAGACAGGTAACATGTTGAAATTTTACTGTTCTTCTTCCAAAGCCCAGAACAGGCATGTTGAAATTTTACTGTTCTTCTTCCAAAGCCCAGAACAGGTCTAACATGTTTCTGCCACTTACTGTTCATGTAAACAGAGGCAGGTAACATGGCGACTAAGTCTCTGATTATAATCAGTAAACTGCGATAATAATAAACTACAAATGTAATATATGAAAATATGGAGTACTTAATATAGGGCAACAACTACATGAAACATACTGAATATTAATCACAACTATTATTTGTCAGAAGCTGTTTTCCCAATAAAACATTCCTCATCTTTGACAAGCCAGAACTTTACCTGAAAGAAGAAAGGAGAATGGATAGAGGAATGAGAAAATAACTCTACCATTCTTCCCACCCAGAGTCCTGTGAAATAAAAAAAATAACTTTCATTTAAAGAACAAAACAAGCCAGTCACTGGTGGCTCACTCCTGTAATACTAGCTACTTAGGAGGCTGAGATCTAATGATTGTGGTTCAAAGCCAGACCAGAAAGAAATGTTCATGGGAATCATCTCCAATTAACCTAAAGTGAAGGAGGAGTGGCTCAAGTGGTAGAGCACTAGACTTGAGAGAAAAAGCCAAATAAGAGTGAGAAGGTCTGAATTCAAGCCCCAGTATACGTACTTTGTCTCTCTCCTGTCTCTCTTTCTCTTTCTCTTTTTCTCTTTCTCTTTCTCTCTCTCTCACACACTCACTCTTACATAAATGAAACAGGTATCATTTTCAATAATATTAAGTGGGATGATGAACCAAATCTTTAGATTAGTGCTACTGAAAAACTGAAAAAATTGTATTAGGTATCAAGAGGAATTACTAAATAAGTCTTCAAAACAAGCATGAAGCCAGAAAAAAAAAAATCACAAAGCCATTGAAAATCTCTAATCTCTGCCTCCCCAACACTAAAGGAAAAAGAAAAAAAAAAACGAAAAAAACAAAGCATAGCATGATTTGTGACAGTTTAACTACAGCCAGGGATACAAAAAAGAAAGCCTAGCACTGACAAAGCTACATAGCACTGATGGACCTATCATCATGACAAGAATCAACACAAACACAAACCAGCCCTGCTGTATACCTGAGATCAGGTGTCACATTTCCTGGGTAACAGAAACAGCCTCCGGCTATGAAAGTGGACTGAGGCAATGCAATACTGAAAGTACCTCAAAATGCCCATCAAAATCAGCCAAAGCTTTTCAGAAAAATGCCCTACTATCCAAGACTTCAACTGCGTCTTATATGCACCAGAAACAGTGACATCTGTCAAGGCCTGTGTCTCCCAGTACTTCCTCTAAAAATAATTTAGAGCAAAAGGAACTAATTTTTATAAAGCCTTGAATGTATGCCTTTAACATAAATGGAAAGCAGAATGCCGACATAAAAAAAAAAGTAAATATGCTGAAGCATGGTTCACTAATAGAGCACCTGCCTAGAAAGCACAAGACCCTGAATTAAAACCCTAGTACTCCCAAAACAAAACAAATATATATATAAAGGTACACAGGTGGGGTTGGAGGACAAGTTCCAGTACCTGTCTTGGGCCTAATAAAAAAAGAAAAAAGGAACACGAGCATGCAAAGTCACATTGAGAGTTACTACACTCTCAATCCAGTATAAATCTTGGGCGTAAGCAAGAAAATCCAAGACAAAAATGAAGACAAAAAAAAAAGAACAAAATGAGTCAAGTGTTAAGGTTGATCTAAAATCCTTACTAGGAAGAGCAACAAGGAGAAAAAGGGGGAGGAGGAGGAACTGTCCCATAGACTGTACAGTACACCTATTATAATTGAGTTATTAAACAATGAAAAGTATAACATTCAGGGTTGTAAGAGACAAAATTCTAAAATTATAGGATATAAATTCAGGCATCTGTGGCTCACCCCTTTAATCCTAGCTACTCAGGAAGCTGAGATCTGAGGATCATAGTTCCACGCCAACCCAAGCAGGAAAAAAAAAAAAAAAAAAATCAATGAGATTCCTTTTTTTTTTTTTTTTTTTTTTGGGGGGGGGGGGGGGGGTCCGGTTGTGGGGCCTGAACTCTGGGCCTGGGCGCTGTCCCTCAGCTCTTCAGCTCAAGGATAGCACTCTACCACTCGAGCCACAGCACCACTTCCAGCTTTTTTTCTTTTTGCTTATGTAGTGCTGAGGAATCGAACCCAGGGCTTCGTGCATGCAAGGCAAGCACTCTACCACTGAGCCACCTTCCTAGCCCCAATCAATGAGATTCTTATCTCCAATTAACCACCAAAAAAAGGAGGAAGTGGGCAAGAGTGAGCTGTGGCTCAAATGGTGGAGTGCTAGCCATGAGAGGAAAAACCAAAAAACGCAGGGGCAAAGTCTAGACCCTGAGTTTAAGTTCAAGACACAAAAAGTATAGAATATATCTAAGGCAACCTCTTCCACACATTTGTATTTTGCTATGTTAACCTAGGTAAACATTAGAAAACTAGCAAATCTACCCAACAAAAAAGATAAATAATTGGAACCAGGTAATTGTGGGAATAGGTGGGGTTGTGAGAGGGGGCAAGAACGATATAAAGGGGTAACATCCATCAAGATGTATTCTACTCACAAAATGACACGTTAAATTGAAACACCATTGTAAAACTACTTAATTTGAAAAGCACTAATAAACAGTAACAGAAAAAATTCACCAATACTATTAAAGGTTACTGTCCTAAAATTTAAAATATTTTTTCATTTTATTTTATTGTAAAGATGCTGTACAGAGGGGTTAGTTACAGAGTAAGGTAATGAGTATACTTCTTGTCCAGCGTTGTTACTCCCTCCTTTGTTGTTCTCCCACTACCCCTTCCCTCTCCTACCTCCCTCATTTCCCCATCCCACAAAGTTGTAAAGTTCATTAGTATACGTCTACCATAATTTTATCAGATGAGCAGAAAAGCTCAAATGCTATGTACATATGACCATATAAGATGATGCTAAGTGAAATGAACCCCAAGATATGGACACAAGAGGCTTTTCTTTGTTTTTGTTGTTTTTAATGTACTGTGTGATTTTTTTTTGTTTCCTTGGTATGTTCTTCCCTTAAGGTGTATCCCCTGTTGTCACTGTACTTGATTTTGGTACTCTATATCTTATACAAAAATTTTTCAATAGCTGAGTTGATGAAAATCCACAAGTCTACCCACCCTACCCCACAAAGAAAAGTGAGAAGAAAATAGTACTTATTAACTGTATTAAGGGCTTGGGAAGGTGGCTCAGTGGTAGAGTGCTTGCTTGCATGCATGAGGCCCTGGGTTTGATTCCTCAGCACCACATAAGCAGAAAAAGCTGGAAATGGCACTGTGGCTCAAGCAGTAGAGCACTAGCCTTAAGCTGAAGAGCAGAGGGACAGAGCCCAGGTCCAGAGTTCAGACCCCATGACCAACAAACAAAAAGAAAAAGAAACTGTATTAAACATACACACTCATAGTTGTACAAAGGCATTGCCATTCAACAAAGCACTTTATGAATAATAAAGTGTATCTTGATCAATGTCACCCCTTTCAATATTCTCCCCCATCCTGTCCAAACTCATCCTTTCCTTTTTGCTATACTGATTTCTTGTTATACAATGCATTTTCTCCATTTCTATACCTTCTGCCATGATGGTTGTCTTTATGTTCATCTACTATTTTTAGGTCTGGTTTGTTCTTTATTTGTAGGAGACTAGTTGCCAGCAACAGATGTTTGCTACTTTAGTGGATGCATATCTTCCCTATTACATTGTTTTGTTAACCCTCACAATAATATTTCTCAATTATCAAATCATATGTTTTTCAATTAAGTTAAGTGAAGTTAAGCCACCATTACTAGCAAGTGATGGAGCCTGAATTTAAACACTTATAGTCTTATCTGTAATCTGAAGAGCCCATTCTTTGGTTCACTATAAAAAAGATCATATGAATGGGATGAAAAACCAGACTTAAAGCATGAACAGAGCTGAGTAGCAGTGTCTCTGCATGTATACATTGTTTTAGGCACCTGCATAAAAGTGACAGTGTGCCCTAATTAAATCATGTATAATAAATGAAGACCATTAAATTCCTCAAAAAATGATCAAGCTTGCCTTTCAAGTGCACTAGTATATACATACTTATACACACAAAACACACACACACACACACACACACACACACAATGAGATCATTAGTTTGGTTCTGGCTTTGTATCTAAGGAGCTGAATGATCTCACCCTTTCTTAGATTACTGACTTATTCAAGACATCCTTCACACACAAATTTGAAGTACAATGCTGCTTCACA